AGGTGCCCATCATTACCAAACCTGTAGTGAAGAGTTCGCTCTTTCATCCGCCCTTTCTCTTCACGCCGACACTGAATGCGAGCGCAAACTGTCCGCGAACTTTCAAAAAGGCCAAAAATATTGTCGGCGTCATAGGCCCGGCGTCCAGCACTGTCACCATTCAGGTTAGTTAACCACACATTATATCCACAAACTTTGATATATCGTAGTTTTGTTTATGATTCACATTTTCCCTAACATTTCCAATGGTTTATAAATATTATTTTAACATAGATTTCATATAAATATAATGACTGATCCGAAAATATTTCCATTATTTTTTGTGGAACTTTTCAAACAAACATTTTTAATGAATCACTTTGTATGCAGTGATCTTATTACAAGTATTATAAGTTTTTATTGCTTACAATTGTTATTTTTAGTAATTACTAGAAATAAGTTGTCCATAATATCCATAATGAGCAAAATAAGTTATTGTAATTTTAATAAATCTTTAATTTTAAGAAATATTGGACCAAGTAATTTTTGTGTTTTGGCATAAGATAACTATATTTTATGTAAAATCTTTTAGTTTACATAGTTTTACTTGAAATCATAAACATATGGTAAATGTAAAACTTATGTGTATGTTAAAATTAATTTTTACAAAAGTGCTTAAATACACATACGGGTATAAAAACAAAATGTACCTTGCTACAAGAAACAGTGTTGACTGTATGTAAAAAGTATACTAAAAATCATAATTAATAGTCGATGAATTTATAAATTCAATTAATTTGTTCTTTTGATTATATTTTAAATTGAATTCACAAACATTTATAATACAGTGAATATAGGAATATACTGTATATTGCAATTATTTTATGTTAAATACAGTTTAGTTTATAATTTATTTACATTATTATAGTTTTTGTATTTAACAATAATATTTATATAATTAATGGTATAAATAATTTATAAACATTATTATGATATAGACTTTTGTAGACATTTAGTCTGATTTATAATTAATGTTTATGGTAACTTTAAATATAAGTAAATTTATTTATACATGTTTTATATTTATATAAATTCGCTTTAAATCAATCGTCTACATTTAGAAATAGATGTCATTTGTAAAATATCATGTTCATATAATCATAACACATAGGCAAACCTGCATAAACGAACATGCACCAGAAATACTAATCTATAATTTATAAATTAATAATAAATTATAACATGATTAATTTGCAGCACATCTCAGAGAACTAATGATAAATTTTATTATTTTCTACCATGAAGCATTCCATCAATTTGATGTATTTATATGACTTTTGTTATGTAATTTGTTTTTACATAACTATAACAGTAAAGCACAGAAGTATTTCGTTTACGATCTTTGGGGTAATTTTATAAAATGCATTTATGGCTAGAAATGAATGCATTTATTGCTTAAATTGATTGTAATTCACATTCAGAGCAATTAAAAACTACAAGTCTAGCACTTATTGCTTACAACAAACGCATTGTATTTCTATAATTAAAGCATTAATTTATACCCAAATTTGTTTACACGGTTTGTTTGGGAAAACCATTTTGTCTATTATATAAAAGCGTCAATAAAATAAAATGTGATTAATGAAAATTGCATTGAGTTTATAATAGTATTAAATCAATAGGCTTTGGGAAATATTCCGGATAATCGTTAAATAATGAACATTTAAAATATTAATTTTGATAAACGATTGTATTTTGGTTTTATATTTAATATTGTAAAATATTTTTCGGTTAAAATCTAATCATTTCTAAACATTAAACACAAATTTTCCTGAAGTAAGAAAATTTGATGTAAATTTTCGGATCATTATTCGTAAGAATGCCATAATTTATTAGTATTAGCTCTTTGTCTGTAATCATATATTTTCTGTTGCAATAAATAATATATGATTTAAAATCTATTATACATAATAAATAAAATAACACATGAATTCAATACATTATAAACATATTTAATGTAAATCCTTTCCCATTGTATCAAAACATATTGTATTTCTGTATAATTTGTATCAAATATCCAATACTTGTTCAGTAGTTTACACAACAGATTAGCTGTTGATCACAATCTTCTTATTTATTTGGTGTATATTTTGATGTTATTCTTATCTGAGATGTCATTTATTTGAAGATAACATTCTGTGTGTCTATGGTTTAGGTCCAGAATCTGCTGCAACTTTTTAATATACCACAAGTGGGTTATTCAGCGACGAGTCGAGACCTGAGCATAAAATCCTATTACAAGTACTTCTTGCGTGTCGTGCCATCAGATCTACTTCAGGCCCGAGTGATGGTAGACCTCGTGA